CTGATGAAAATTATGATTTTTCAGAGGAAAAAGGGTACCATAAAAATCTTTTTTAGCTAAAAATGCTTTTATTTATTATTTTGGACGATGCAATTAATGTTTCCTTTATTTTCAGTATTTTACTATTATTGTAGAGATACCACAACTGATACCCAATTGATATCAGTTGTGGTTGTTCAATATGGTGATTCCATTTCAATTTGTGATTTATTTCAGTATATTATATCCTGTTTCTGGGTCTCATTTCTATTGGCATATCAAAGGTATTGATTTTCAGCGTTCCATTCACCAGTAAATTTTTGGAATCTTTTGTAGAAGGTACAAAGAAAGTTTCATCTGAATTCATCTTGAAAGTTCATTGGCAAATCATTCAACAATGTTTAGGAAATCGTTCTCAATTACTGTGTCGTCTGCCAAGCTTAAAAGTCACCCGATGCAACAAGATTGAAAAGATCGCTCAGGTATACTTATTCTATGGTTTTGATTGATCTAGCTCATTGATCACCAACCATGAGTTTATATGGCCTGTTTCTCAGGTAGCTTCATGAGAATTAATATGCGATTCCACAAAATTCAACTTTTTCTAGATATTTTAGTAGTTTATTGTGAGAGACAGTGTCGAATTCTATCGCTAGGTCAAAGAAATTGCATGGAGAGGGTCTATTTTCATCTAGATTTCTGTTAAATTCGTGTTGTTAGATGTGCCATTGCACCTTTCGTCGACACCTTTCTGTTTGCCAGATAAAATTTTGGGTTCATTTGAATATTTTGTTATTATTTCTCTCAAGGATTTTTGAAATATTTCATCGAGATTGATGACCACGAAGAAAATACCGACAGGATATATCAATGTTCGACTTTTATCTAAATGATACTCTTCAGAATATTTACGACTTTCTTTATTGCAACTGAATCATATTCGCTTTCTGCAGCGCCCGTAGTTTTACTTGGCGGTAATCTTCACTGTTTGTTCATGTTTATTCAAGTTAGACTCATTTGTGTACCTGAACCAATCGTTTAACAATAGTGTTTAGTCTGATATTGATTTCTATTCAATAGATAAGGTAATACACCTACTAGCAGTAATATTCATCTAACTATATGATTGGCTTATGTTTCAAATATTGTAGAGCCAGCAAGAAAATTGAAAAGGTAACGCCCAATTATGGAAAAAAAAGTAAACTTAGAAAATAGGGATATTGCTGAGGAAGAAGGAACTGAGGATAATGAAATGAAGCAAGTTGTACATGACCCTAGTCGTGAAGGGGGTCGACATAAAATTCCAGTAATGTTGATGTCTCAAATTAAAGACATTGTGAAATATCCAGTAAAAGGTAAGATAGTTCGTTACTTTTCTCAAATACATATTGAACTTATACGGCTAACTTATAGATCCTAAGAGGAAGGATGTTAAAAGATTTTGTGTCCTTCCAAGATATTATGAATGGTCTGGGCCAAGTGATGATAGAAATAGCAAATGTAAGTAGTCAGGTGAAGAGTTGCATCTCACAAAGTTTCAACAGGTGAGAATAATTATAGTGGCATTTCATTCAATTCAGCATTATTTTCATTCGGAAATCACTTGATGACTCCGTGGATAAATCAACTCTGATCACCACTGTTTTTTATTGAAGTTGTATTCAAAATTTTGCGAAAAATCATATCCCTCTAAGATGAACACGTACACAATTTTGGAAAAATATATTAGACACTTTTTTATAAATGAAATCATTTGATAAAGTTTTTGAAGCACTTTCAAACGTCCGCGTCCGTATCTCAAGATTTATCCAAATCAATAATGATTGTAATATGGTAGAAATTGCACGTTGAAAGGTGAAACCACGTTAATACTCAACTCCCACAAGTTTCGACGTATCACTTGAAATCCAACCACCCCAGAACCGTCGTATCCACAAATTGTTATCGATTAGAGTTTCGAAAAACGTACTTGACAATTTAGTATGTTTTCAATGAATTATGGTTCATTTAACAAACAAATAAATACTAGTTTGGAAAAAACATAATTAATCATTTCATTATCGAAAATTCTATGCAAAAACGTATTATATTTCGAATTTTGTCTTTATCGACGACGGTAACTGTTTGAGTTGACCAGTTTTTAAATTTTTTATAATATAGATTCGTTCAACTCCAACGAATACTTCGAAGATGAAATTTCCGAGCAAAATACTCAAATTCGAGAAAAATTATTAGATCTTCAGGTGATCAACTATTTTGGGCATATGAAAAGTGGACATTTTTCACCATATGACAATTCAGGAGACCCAATCTTGATAACGTTATGATTGCCATTGAAGTCGAAAAACAACAGTTATAACGTATTCAAAAAACACACTTCAATGTGAGATTTCTACCTGTAAGTTTACATAACCACGACACGTGTTTCGTTATACAATGGTATCTTCGGGCGTCACAATACACAGTATTGTGTACCTATATACACCAGAGGAATATTAGGTGTTTCACGTTGGAGTTAGAGATAGTCAGCTATAAACTTGCATAAACGTTCACTTTGGCACTCTCAAACTCGTCTCAGAACCTACTTATCGTAGGATATCCGCGACTACAGAAATTCCAAGGTCAAAAGTCAAAAAATCGATTTTTTTCACAATTTATGTTTTATGATATTTGTATTATTTGTATTAATGATGAATATTGAATTCTCCACAAATTTTCTTCATACACCTTTTTTATATCTTGCTTTTTTAATGTCTTCAACCATTTTTGTGATAGAGGGCAGATTGCGCGCGGTGTTTAACTATTCAGAGTATCATTCGAAGTCATCAAAAATTTGATTTTTTGACCTTTGACCATAGAATATCTGTAGTCGCGGACACCCTACGATAAGTAGGTTTTGAAACAAGTTTTAGGGTGCTAAAATAAAGGATATCTGACTAGGTATTACTTTTTATCGGTGCAGGAAAGATCCGAACCAGTGCCTGCGGTGTAGGTAGTTGGGAGAGATGAATATTTCGAGATTTTATTTCGAAATATTTACTGTTAGTACGTATGTATCTCCCCTCGATACAGTCTTCAGACATGGTTTGATCTCTGTTAAGAATATTGGTATATGAGATATTTCTTTCCCGCTTAAGACTTTGTTCACGAGATGGAGCTGTTACTAGTTAACAATGTTTCCCTTAAACGAAATTTTCATACATGCTGTTACGCCACGTTGAAATTAATCGAGTCCCAGGTACTTTGCTGTTTCAGCAAAGTACCTGGGACTTCTGGATGAACGAGAAACATTTGCGAGACTAACCTCTGTGAAATATCTTGCATAAATGTCTATCGGATATAATCCAATATCCAGCGAGGTATTAGCCCGAGAAGTAGTTATTTTCCAGCAGTCATTTACTAGAGCCAACGGTGTAGGTAGTTGGTAGAGATGAACATTTCGAGATTTCATTTCGAAATATTCATTTTTCAGTTCTAATGGAAGCCCAATGTGACAAACACTGTAGGCATTGACCTCTTACGGGAATAAATATGTGAAAAAATTCTAAAAACCCAGACAAAACAATGTGAATATGAGTTTATTTCATCCTGTTGATGGATTATCTTCATCAATTTTAAGCTCATACGAATTTCCTGAGAAATTTCAAAAGTTATTCGGAAAATTCACCAAAATGGAATCTACCCGCGAATACCTAATTTTATTTTTCCAGTATCTTCAAAAAGAAGAACATGTCGGAGTCTGTACTGTAACGAATTATAGAATTAACTGTCTTAAACACATTTATTTTTAACAATATTTCACTATCACAACCAATTTATATACCACACTTATACGACTAACGCTTAATTTATCTTCACAGTTCGATTTATCAAAACGCACGATTCACTTTCTAGATACAGACTGACTGACCGACTGCCTCTCACCTGCACGTCGTCTTGATTTCAAACAGGTTGTAGCCTGGCTCCCTTACCCTTTGGACTGATTTTTGCCAGAAGGACAAACGGGTCATAACTGATGGTGAGTGTTGATGGTATGGCGGCATGAATGTCCCCAGACATCAGTACCGCCCTACACGGTGTACCCCTACCTGGCAGGGATGGGTTGGAAGACATAGGGGCCTCATTCGACAGAGTGTCGGGGCCTTCTATATCGGAAGGGGTCGTCTACAGTATACTCCATAGCTTCCCTGACTAATTGAGTGCCTCTCGGGACGGAGAGCGGCCTTTTAATATCGTCAACGAACGCTCCAGATCTCTCTAGGGGTTTCGGCACTGGCCTAGACTATTCGCGGTGGCTTGTCGAGTGCATTCCTTTCGCGGTGAGTCATTGTTTATTCGCTGGCTGAGATATCGGTCAGGGACAGCTTCAGATTCGTTACAGTATTATTGGTTTCTAGAATACGCAACATTTGACCTTTGAATTAGGAGAAATAAGTTCTGTTTGTTGTGTCATGTTTTAATGTTGTTTTTTCAATAAAATCCTGTGCGAGAAAGCTATTTTGTAACCTTTTATAGTTTAGTTTTGAAGAAACACAAGCACTACAGGAAAATTCCTAAGGCGCTCCAAGAGCGGTGCCTGTGTGAAAGTAGCGATTCACGTTGGATTTGAATCGCTGGAAATTGAATTCATTTGGAATCAAGATAAATTCCATCAGTAGATTTTTAGAAATAAGTTCATTCACAGGAATTTGGAATAATGCAATCGAGAAGCAAGGGGGAGTCAAGAGCTATTGCGCTTGATATTTCCTAGGCCTTCGACCGTGTGTGATATGAGGGTTTGCTGGCCAAACTTCGATGTTATGGCTTGTCGAATCATTTTTGTGTACGGCTCCTCAGCCTCCTAGAAGAACGTTCCCTGCAGGTGGCCGTCGATGGATATCTCACCATCAACGCTGGTGTTCTCCAGTGATCCATATTGTCTCCAACCCTCTTTTCATTGCAAATCAACCACTTATTGAAAAAAAACAAGAATCCAATATATTGCTTTGCTGTCAGGTCAGACAATTCCGCTTTCTGCTTCGATGAGTTTGTTGTGGGTTGAAATGGACACCAATATATCTTAGCACAGTCATGTCGCTGGAATTGCAAAGGCTGCTTCTCAAAAGCTTGGAACACTGTTCCGATCCAGAAAACTGCACACTCATCAGCATCTTTTGATGCTTTATAAAGCTCAGATCAGACCTTCATTGGAGTATTGTTCTCATGTATGGAGCTCCGCCCCCGAACATACCCTGAAGCTGTTGGATTTCATCCAGAAAAGAGACGCGAATATCACTTGCAACCTTGATAGTCTGGAACATCGAATAAAGTTTAGATATTCGTCTCCCTTCTATAGATACTTTCACGGAAAGTGTTTAAGTCACCTGGCACATCTGATTCCACCAAGAGCGGTACATATCAGAAATACGCAACGGACTGTGGGTGCTCATCGTTTCGAATTTCAACTCAGTACACCTCGAACTTCCTGTTTAAGAACTCTTCCATTTGGAGAACGGCGTTTATATGGAATAAACTTCCTGAGAACTTCCTGGTCTCCAGCGATTCAAATCCAGTGTGGATCACTACATTCGTACAAGCAGCCCTCTAAGAGCGCCTTAAGGATTTTGCTGTAGTGTCTTGAAAAAACCGATAATATTTGATTGAAGGACATAGGTCTGGACAGATTATCGTTACACTGTTTTAATCGTACCTGAAACCCTATCCTCAGTAACGAAATCCCTTGTTTGTCTTTTGAATAGATTTACAGTTTGTGAGTTGATTGACTCCAAAATCGCCTTTGAAACGATTTTTCAATCGACGAGAATTGATTGTTTCCATTGGTCATTCTATCTCAAAAGTGTTTGTACTTATTACTCACATATTTTATTCAAAATGTCCATCATTACTCTATTGAAAACACCAGAACATTGAGCATTACGCTAAACAAGCCAGCATCATCAGGAAATTACTAAAACGTGCACGAGAACTTTAGTTCTGATGTGAAAAAAGTATTTTCAATAGATCCATTTCACGTCAGAGGTTCCAATTCTTTCTATCAATTTTTTATTCGTTTTTCTAAACTGAAATGTACAAATATAACTAACAACATATGTATATAATATGCTTTCACGGTCATAGTCACGAGTCAAGCTTCGAGACAATTCCTTTGTTCTCGCAGTAAACGCATACACCACTGAAGATGTCTACCGCAGTAGTAGACGAAAATTTTAGTACTACAAGCCCCTTCCGGCCAAGGCCTAGTAGCCCGGATTTTGCTTTCCATTCATAACCAACAATGTTTCTCAATTTTGAAGGATTAGACCTTCATTTTTCATTTTAGGAAAGATAGTAAAGAAATGTGGAAATCTTCAGAAGAAAGGAAGAAAACATTCAATTTCAAAAAATTAACTCTATACAAAGATGTGTAGATCATGCAAAGGAGTAACTTTCAGACACAAACTAGAAGAAAAATCCCTCTCAAAACAGCTATTCTCATATAAATATTGAATCACATGAAAGAA